CAGGCTGAACACCCCCAACTCTCTCTGCCCATGTACGTTTATCCCACATATATTTTGTATCTGCATCCCCGTGTTTTTGGTTTGTTGCTGACAAAGCAATCAGGACTGACTTACCAGAAGGACCCTTCTGTTGCTCTGCCCTCCAGCCCTTGCAAGCCCAGAGACGGAGGGTAGACCTCTGTGCTCTCTGAGCATCCAAGTGAAGCTTGTACTCTGTGTTTTTGAGACAGATGTCTTAATTCTTGGCATGAATGGCCGGGCTGCCTTGCAGGGATAAATGGAGAGCTGCTCTGTGCCGAGGGATTTGCAGGAGTTGATAATGACCCTGCTTAACCTACAGCTGTTCGCACAGATGTTCTTGCACACAGCTGGTTTGGGTAAATAGCTTCATCTTAATGCCGGGTCTGAGGGTCCTTTGGTAAAACATTAGCAGAAAAGTTAGTGAGGTTTCATTGTGCCGAATCAATTCCTGTCTGTGTAGAGCTAATTTAACTGGAATCAAGGTTAGGCTGACCTCCGAGGTGGGGGGTGGGAGGGGAAGTATGTGATGCAATTGGCTCAAACCAATTGAAACTCAAACTTCTTCAGGTGCATACAGAAGAATAACATGTAATTGGCCTGACTCCTTCAAAGGAATGACTCTTTGTGAGAAGCTACCATGAAACCTTGGTTGTTGCAATACAAAACTCAATAAACAGCACCTGTGGCTTACCTGAAAATTCCCCTCTATCCCAGTATTCTCCTTTAAAAAGATTCAAATACAGTGAGGTAAATGTGTAATGTTTGAAGTGGAGGCTGTACTAGAGGATGTTCCTCTAGTACAGCCTCCACTTCAAACATTACACATTTACCTCACTGTATTTGAATCTTTTTAATGTTTGAAGTGGAGGCTGTACCAGAGGATGTGCCCGACTGCCCGGGCAGGAGGAGTGAGGGGCCTCAAGGAGAAAGGTTGCCCATTCCATTCGTTCTCCCTGCTGTGCCAGCACAGCCCATGGTGGCTGTGATGAGCCCTAAATCTGGCTGTGATACTCTGTGGTGATGATGCCAGCCTTGTGGAGAAAGGGGTGGGGCTGAAGAAGGGGAAGATGCTCAAATCAAGCGATCTCTGAATTATTCTAAAGCTGAAGAAGTGACAATCTGCCCCTTTTGGAACAGGGGAAAATCTCTATTTGGTACGTGATATTTTTTGGAAGCATTTCTTTTGTAAACATACAGATTTAATTTAAATTCACCTGAAATACTTGCTGTTTTCTCTTTTGCATCTGAACAAATGCTGCTGGGACTGGAGAAGATAGGGTATAAGTATAGGCAGGGCATCTGCTTCCATGATGGGTCTTGCAAAGTCCTGTTGCTCAGGGTATGTGATTCCAGTTTTGGTTTGTCCACAGGGGTTTTTCCCCCTCTTGCACTGTTGTCTCTGGTCTTTCTGAAAGTAGCTGGGAAGAACTAGAAGATAAGGTGGTGTTATACCGCTAAAATTGGGTTTACTTACTCTGTTGTAGCTGTGGTTTATAGTAGGAGCTTGAAATTCCTGTTACAGTGACAACAAGAGCAGTGGCATTAAACTATTGCTTCACTATTTATATAAACTAAAACATTATCTGTGTTTCTGAAACCAACAGTTGTTATATTTTCTGCTGTTTTTACCCTTACATGCAATACAGTTTATTTTTTCTGCCATACAAGGTGCCTTATCGGGTGTTACTGAGCATAACTGCTATAAGCAACTACTAATTTACAGCTTTCACTTTTTTTAACCTCCAGAAAGAAATGATTCCCTCACTGACTTGTCTCTACCCTCAGCGAGAGCCACATAATTTTGGCTGTGCTATAATCTTCCTTCTAAATCACGAAAATAAAGGCTGGAAAGAGCCACCGTCAAGCTTTATCATGTTTATATTGCTCCTGCAGGAGGCATTCCGCTGCCGAGGTATGCCGCGTACGGCGCGTCGAAAGCAGCTCTGTCCATGTTTTCTGGAGTAATGAGGCAAGAGCTCTCCAAATGGGGAATTAAAGTTGCTGCAATTCATCCGTCGGGCTTCCGAACAGGTTGGTATTTGACATTTTGGGTAGTTCTTTTCCCTGAATTCCAGCATCCTCAAACAGAGCCCTGAATGATTTCAATTGGTGCTTTCCTTCTGCTCTAATCCTGTTGAAGTTACACACACATTCCCCACCCTGAGCATCACTGTGTGGATGATTGGAGAGTTATGGCTTGCTTGTCCTGCATGAGAACTTGAGGACTCGCTGTCAGTCCTACTTTTCTCAATATCGGAGCTCTCTTTTGAGCTGCTCAGTCTTACCTCGAAGTATCTGCAGCAATACCTATCATCCTGCCTACCTTCTGTCAGTGTTGCTCTGTATAGTCCCAAGCTTTCCTCTCCACTCCTCTCCTCTGCCATGCACCTGCTGCTTTTTGTTCCCAATCCTCCTTCCACTGCTCTAAGCGTGTTCTGCAGAGCCTGTCTGGGTTACAGACTGCTTCCTGCTGCACCCTGTGCCCACCTGGGAGCAGTGTGGGTGTCACACAGGTCCTTGCTGCATGGACATGCCTGAGGACAACATCAAGTCCCACTGCTGCCTACTCAGAAAGTCATGGTGCCCCCATGGAGGCAATTTTTATGTTGATGAAAATTAGAAATGGTCTATTTTCATAAACCCTCACCCCCTTGCATGCCTTCCCTCCTTGGGAAGGGCCCTGCAAGGGCTCTGACAGCACCCATGTGGTCTGTGGTACCTGCCTGAGATTCTACCTTCAAGGACCCACTTAGCTGTTGTCAGACTTTTGGGTAAAAACATCATGCATCAAGTCCAGGTATTTGAGACTTAAATATTTTAGTTAAAGACTTTTCTCTATCTGCAATGCTTAATTCATGGTAGTTAGGCAATAATGCATTGGAAGAGCCATTGCTTTTATTCTTACATGATGCAGGTGGGGGAAAAATAGATATTATTAAAAAAAAAAATCTGGCCTAATACAAGCTTTATCCTTCATGAAACTAGTTATTGAAATACCAGTGTCACTTGTGAAAGAGGAGCTTAGCACTTGGCCAACCCAAGTGAATCCTGTTCATCTTAGCTGGCCCGTTGTCATGGTTTAACGGGCTTTCCTCAGTCACTCGCATCAGCTAACAAATACTGAGTAGAAACACTCACACAATGACAGAAAGAATGTCAAGAGTGGGGAAGAATGGAAAAAAGGCTGATTTGGCTGTGAGAGAGCCTTTTTAAGTAGAGCTGGTAATCAAATGGTGCATGAACCCCATGCTTTTGGTGTAGTCTGCCTTGTGCTTTCCCTTCTCTCCCAGGTCAAGGTGCTTGAAGGTAACCAGCTGCTTTGTCTGTTTGTTGCTGACCCAGTTTAGAACGACTGTAAATCAGGGTGGTGGTGGAGAACAACTTATTGACTATTAATTATGAATGGATTTTTTTTCATTCAGTCCCAAACCCGCTTACTCTCCTGTGATGTTGGTACTGCAGGTATACAAGGCACACCTGACCTGTGGGATAAGCAAGAAAAGGAGCTGATGGAGAACCTTTCGGCAGACACAAGGCAAGACTACGGTGAGGACTATCTCCTGGGGCTGAAGAGCTACCTCCTGCACATGCCAGCGTATTGCGACGCCGACCTCTCCCCCGTGCTGGGCGCTATCCTGCACGCTCTGCTGGCCAAGAGACCATGCGGCTTGTACACCCCCGGCAAAGGGGCTTATGTGCCCCTCTGCGTCTTCTGCTACTTTCCTCTCTGGTTCTATGACTTTTTCATTAGTAAGATGCTGAGTCTGTCCCAGGGGCGCTGAGAACATCAGGAGCTGAAAGCAAGAATCTCTAAGGTATCTGTCAACATTTGTCTTACTTGATGAGATAACTGGGAAAAACTCTATTTGAAGACACCACTATTTACTGTACGGTCTTTGTTACAATGCATTTACGCTGCCTGACAGAAGTAAATCTTTGTGTTAAGAGTAATGCTCAGGAAAAGTGTTGGATAAACAGAAGTAGAAAGCTATTCCCAGATGGGGTCTTTTTGGAGGAACTTCGATGTTTTCTTCATGTTTTTGTATCCTGCCTTCTGTGTGAAGTGTCTCGTGAGGTTATGTAGCTCCTGTCTGGTTCAAAAGGCACCATCAACACACAGACAGATGTATTACCTGCATTTTAAAACAAAACAAAAATATCCTTGAGAGTCAACAACCTTCTTAAAATGTTATAAGGATTTGCATTTTTTCCTATCATTGGAGAGATTTCTGAATGTCCAATGCAAATCTCTGCATTGCATTTTCAGCCTAATACATTTGGGTTTTTTTGCTTCTGTGGGTGTTAAACCTGAGAAACGATTGACCTTGTTTTGCCTGAGTTTTGTGAAGTATAGGTGTGACGTTTATAATGTGTCCTCTTTGCTAGACAAGCAACATAAATTAGTTGGGGGGAAAATGAACAAAACCAGATCAAGATCCTCATGAAGAAGCAAACAAACTCCTTCCTACAGTATTAGAAAAAGTAATAGTAAGTGTATCAGCTGCTAATTTGATATGACTGTCTTGCTCATTCTGTGTGTTGCCTGTATATGCCTGTGCCTCTTTAAGTATGAGTAAACTCTGGTCTCCCTTCTGCTTTTTGTATAGTTCCTTACTTGGTTCTGGGTTTATGAAGATTTCACATTTTTGCTCATTTCTCCTGACACCTTCCTGCATCTCCCTCTGATCTGGGAAAAGCTTGTGCTCACTCCTCTAAGATCAGTCAGTCTTCAGGTTGGCTTCACTGGAATTCAGTCTCTATCGTCTGGTGGGTTTCTGGTCACTCCCCTTCCCTAAATTCATTCCAGGAGCACAAGGTGCCCTCCATGCCACAGGTTGCCTCTGTGCCTTAGAAAACCTTTACCCATGCCAGGAGGTTGGGCAGCTCTCCTGTATTTTTCCTACCCTGCTCCCTTTTGGTGTTGCTCATGACACCCTTCAGCTTTGAAGGGCTGTGAGATTTTGAGAGAAAGGCTCATCCCCCGGAGTTCCCTGCTCTGGCCATCTGTCCTGTGCCTTGTTTTGACAGGATGCATTTCTCTTGTGATGGTAAAAAATGGAAAGACATTACATTCTGGGCTTTAAGTGTAAATGCACTTTTTCCCTTTCTTTTCTGAGCAACTTTGTCTTCTCTCATAATCCTCCTGTGTGAGGTGCTCTTGCAGTCAACTGAACAAAATCACCATTTAATGTGCATCTGCAGTATTCCTTCCATCTCCTTCCTGCATCTTTTATGTCCGTGCAAGAGTCCTGTAGATGCAGAGAGGAAGCTCAGCAGACTTGGCCCACTGTTTGAATTTTGTGCCCCAGTATGGAAATCCTCCTGTCCTGTATGCTGCGCCACGATTACTGCCTTTGCTTCTGAGGGTTATCTCCTTGTGTGTTTATATCAGTCCTCTGACTAGACTTGTGTTTTCCTTTGAGACAGTGTGGCCAAAAATGTTTTCACTCAGAAAATCTGGGACTATTTCTGTCTTTCTGCTCATTTCTCCCTTTATCTATTTCCCAAATATTTTATTTGTCAGCGAAAGTATATAATAAAAACCCAATACTTAGTAACTGGATTGTTGTGACTCTTTATTTCCCAAATATTTTATTTGTCAGCAAAAGTATATAATAAAAACCCAATATTTAGTAACTGGATTGTTGTGACTGTCTCATCTGACCCTTTGTGCTTTTTGGGCACCAGTGCTATGGGGCCTCTCCCTTCCCAGGCTGCCCTAATTCCCATAGCAGGGGAGCACTGAGGAGGAAGGCGGTGGGGACCTTCTCCAGGGAAAAGGGACAAGACAGCAGTCGGGGCCTTGTTTTGGGCAGGATGCAATCCCAAATGGTTCAAATGCAGCTTGTGAGCCGAAATGAAAGGTGGGTACAGAGCCATGGGTTTGCTGGGTGGCAACCTCAATTCTGGCTACCTTCAGGGCGAGGGAACTTGCTGTCAATCAGCCTATCTCCATCTTGCACAGCCGTGGTTCCTTTTCACTTAACACCCAATGTAAGTGTAACTTAGGTGGGCTGGAATTTTGCCCTTAGGCACATTATACAACCCAAATTCCTCTTAGCAGCCAGGTAGCTGTTTTGCATAGCAATCTTCATAACAATCTTTAATTGCAGCTTTGCTATTTGGCTGTGGTTATAAAATGTGATTATTTTTCTTTTCCTCCTTCACTTTTTTAAAAGGAGTATTATCTTGCACATTGCAGTCACATTAAACTAGGAATCTACATGGAAGGTTTTATTTCATTTTAATTTTTTTACTTTTATTTCCCAGGAAATCTGTGTTCTAAATAGTTATTTTACCTCTCTTCACCTAACTACAAAGATATTTTAGCAAATAATTGTGGTATCAAAGACTATTGTTTTGTTCCTACAGGGATCTTACTTGGTGTTTTAAAGATAATTCTGTGTAACACATTATCATGTGTCATTTAATGGGCTGGGGTATTAGAGGTAATTTTCTTTTGCTAATGACTTGCACTGCAAATAATCCAAATTGTGAGGCTGGGGGAGCTGCAGAATAAATTCTGGGTGTTTGTGGCCACGACACCCCTGTGGATGCCAACGCTGATGCTAGCTCATGCTCTCAAGGGTCCAGTGCCCTTTGCTTGCTCTAAAGGCTGATCCTAATACAAAGCTACTTAAGGGGTGGGAAGAGAGGATGTTTAGTTCAGTCAGTGGAAATTGATGTATTAAACCCAAACTAACCACTGTGATTTGGGTCTATTTTCAGAGACCACTTTTCTAATAAAAAGCATATAGTGTGAAGAAAAGTATCTGAGAAACTGAAGAAATTGGCTGTTGCCCTAAAAAAGGGCTGATAAAGAATACTCCGTCACTTAATGCCTCACACTAATCAAGTGTGTATATATTAAGAACACACTCGTATATGGTTTAAAAGGGGTTATAAGCTGCAGAAATCATGATTGAAGGGTAGGTTTTATACACATGCCTCTGCTCCAGCTTCTGGAATGCAGGTTGTGACTAAGAAGTAAATGCTGTTGGATGCTTTCTACCAAGCAAATCCCTGGCTGGTGTCCTGGGGCTCCTACTCTGCATTTATTACTCTGGCTGACATCTGTTCTTCATGTGAACAATTGGTTTTAGGATATGTGGCTTTGGTGAGACAAAAGGTGAGCTGTAAAGTCATTTGTACTTACAACTTTTAAAAAATATCTGGGTCTGTTTGCACTCTTTACGGGGCCCTTGATGACAACTGTGTCTAATGCAAGCTTCTAGTATTGCAGGCTGGGGAACAGAGATTAAATATCATGCGTTTCTGTGGTTGTCTCTGGCTGGCCATGGCGGAAAGCCACGGTGGGGAAGTTTTGGTGGCCACCTGCTGAAGGACCATCTCCGCATTTCAAAACGTGTTAACGTGTTGGACTGACTGCATGGCTGGTGGTAAGGAAAAGGTCTGGTCAAGTGTGCTCTGACGGTGAGTTTTGGGTTGGATAAAACTGGTGGTGTAGGAGAGGGGACAGATCTGGGTCACTGAGGGTTACGGACTTGCGTGGGGAAAGGATTAATCCTAAAAATGCTTCTAAGCTGTGCAGGAGGTGTAGCAGCCCATCCTGCACCAGATTGTTTTATGCTGGCTGCCTTGGTAATGTCTGTGCGCAGCTTGGTCGTTCAAGGCAAAGCCATCAACATAGCTTCCAATACACGCAGTAATCCTGAAGCCCGTTTTTCACTAGTGGAGGCCCAAAAACCGGGATGGGGAGAAAAGGAGTAGTCACTTCTTCTAATTTAATGAGTATGAACAGAAGCTTAGTGATTTCTAAACTAAAATACTTAAAATTTGACTATCTGACTGTTGAAATAACTTCTTACTCTTAATATACACGTGAATATTGGAGAATCCCCAGCTTTTGCCAGTTTGAGTCCCTTCTGTCCTGAGAAAGAGTGAATAGCTTCCATGTTCCTATGAGTGCATGCCCTGGCATGTGAGTGGGGTTTTTTTTTATAGTTGCATAAGAAAAGTTGTTACAACTTTTGTATGTATTATCTGTATTAAGAGAATGCTTCCAGGGAACTTGGAGACCTCGGTGATGTCAAAGCACACTGGGTTTGCTGTAAATTAAGTGATATCTGTGCAATGCTGTGCCTGGACAGCTACAATGGGTCACACTTCGTTTGCTTGAATTGGAGAGTCCGCAGCTGGCCATCAGCACCCATCTGTGCACCCATCATATTTACAGCATGTTTGGGAGAATATATCCGAGTTGGGTCGTTTTTCCTGAAGAGTCTGGTTCTGGGATCTTTTCTGGGATGAAACATTGCCTGGTTTAACTTTTCTATGGCTGTGTTTTGGAAGCCAGCTGGATGCCCAAAATGATGCAACGTCCAAGTGCATTGTGTATCATGGAGTAGTCATATTTCTAGGAACATTCAAAGAAAATTCCTTTGAAATAAAATTCATGCAGGCTTCAAAGGAGAAGTGCTCAAACAAAAGATCTTGGCTCTTGCAAGGAAATTAACAGGAGGTAGGTGTGGTTTGGGTTTTGTGGTGTGTGGGTGGGTTTTGTTTGTTTGTTTGGGTTTTTTTGTTTTGTTTCCTTTCTCAAGTGTTAGGATACATAAATGGAAAGTATTGTTACTGCCAGGGAACACCCAGCACACTCAATCCTGGGATGCCTGAGGTGCAGTCGTTCCTGCTGGGACGTGCCAGCTGCTGCAGCGCTCCCCGGTACGCGGACACTGTTGTAGGCAGTATTTCAGTAGCCAATGCCTTTGTCATCCAAGCTGAACATTAGAGCTGCTGCTGTTCAATTATAGATGTATTG